TTTTTTTTTTTTTTTACGTTTTTAAATGGTTGAAAAATAATTGAAAGAATAATTATTTTGTGAAGTAAATGAAAGTGAAATCTCAGGATTCACTAACAAAATTTTACTGGAACCCAGCCACAATCACTTGTTTAGGTACTGAGCTGGCTGCTGTCGTAACAACTACAGAGTTGAGTAGCTGTGAGAGAGACCTCCCGCAAAGTCTAAAATATTTGCCATCTGGCCCTTTACAGAAAAACGTGTCCCTGGTGGAGGAGGAGTAAGTGCTCTCTCAGAAATCAGAAGACAAGTTCGACCACCCTCAGACTCTTGGCAGCTCTCAGCTGAGAAAACCAAAGGGTTTGGCCAAAATTGCTACCATCATCATTCTGTCACATCTTCGGTGCCGAATGAGAGGGCTCAGAGTTCGTGTCACACACACGGGAAAGGGTGAAACTGGGGCCTGTCCAGGTTGAATGAAGCAGCAGATGAGATAGAGGTGGCTTGGAAACATAGGTCTTCCCACAGGGTGTCCTCCTCACTATTCCACACTGCCCCTGGATGGCTTGTGAGGTCCGTGGCAGCTCTCCATCACATGATTCCAAGACAGGGAGCTTCCTTTGACCCTGGGAGTAAATCAGCCCAGCTAAATGGGGGCAGCAAGGGCAAAGATGACCTTCGAGGGTCAGCCACCTGAAGTAGACTCCTGCATTGACCAGTTACCACCTCCGAGTCCAGGCCAGTCATGGAGCCCTTGGTTTTCTCCTCTAAGAAGGATAGGAAGTATTTCCTTCTCAGGCTTGTTTGCAGAATTTAGCAAGATACAGTTCAAGTGTCGGTTCCCTTGTAATCTTCCTCTCTCCCTTTCCCACAAACAGTATTTGGAGAATAAACAGTAAGTGAGCCTTGTTAGGAAACTTTCTTTCAAATTAGCTGAGAGTTTAAGATTTTTTTTTTTTTTTTTTTTTTTACAGAGTCTTATAAAAAATACTGAATCTATCTGTGCAATAAAAATAGGCTCAGTATTTGCTTGGGTGTTTTCCTCACATATCTTTCAGTTCTTTGAAGCTTCTTCCAAATTATAAGCCAAAAATAAGAGTGCTGTAATTTTTAGAAAAAGTTACGTGTATGCAATTTTTATAGCAAGTCACACAAAGAACTAAGCTATAATACATCATACTCATGTTCAGTTATGAAGACCAAGACTGTAAAAAAAATACCAGCACCAGAAAGCCCTAGTTTATTTAGTCTGGTTTCCTTAACATGAAGTTCTTCTTGTTCTTAAAATATTCAGCTTTGGCTGAATTCCAAAGCTGACATAAGCCTACTTCAGGTGTTTTGAAGAGACTAAAGAGAATCAGAACTGAAAGCAAAATTGGAGAATAAAACCTTTTATGTGATCACAAATGCAAGAACCTTATTGTTTGAAACCACCATTAAATCAAATTTTCCGCCCACACTTACAAAAATAAATATGTATACATTCTCATATTTGGTTGCACAGGGTACTGAAGGTTAATTTCAATAGCATGTTACTATTCCTAACATTAGCCAACAGATAGCTAATTGCATCAGTCACTAGAACTGCAATGACACTTTCTGAAATCGGTGATAGGTTGAGAAGATTTTTATGGACTTTTTATGGATTATGCTAGCAATCACTTTAACAGCCAAGCTAATCTTAGTTATGAAAATAGCATATAGAATTTTAAACAGTGTTAAATTATGTACTTTCCAGCCCATCATGGTATATATGCGGTAATGAAAAAAAAATCCTCTCAAAAGATACCACATAAGTTTAGTGCAAGCTACAAGCTTATGGCTTTTGGAAGTAATTCCTTGGAAGTTCAAATTGGTAAGACTGGAACATTCAAGCCACTAAACTTGTTAAAGTAAAATGACTTGGGAAGATCACGACACGTCATGCAAATTCGTATGGATACACTCTGTGAGCAGCGGGCTGCGTGGTTTCTGTACTTCCAAAACTACACAGAAAGAAACAAATGAGAGCGTCATCTAAAAGTCACAGGTATATATAGAAGGAAAATATGGGCCAAAAGTAACAGAAGAGAAACCAGAACACCAAATGCTGAAGGCCTGATTGGAGTAATATCTCGCCCTGTTGAAGAACTGAAAAGTTCTTTGTTAGGACCGCAGGGACCCAGAGCTCCAGCGCGGGCCAGTGGGTGAGCCTGGCACAAACACACAGGATCTTGCACCAGCACCCACTCTCTCCCAGAAGCGGCGAGCGCTAGGAGCGGTCACGCAGCGCCGCTCGCTGCCCTTAAGGTGGGGCAAGAAGTAAATGAGTAGGAAGCACGCTTGGAGCCTAGTAAACCGTTCCCCCCCGCCCCTGCTGTGGCCAGGGAAAACGTGGCCCCTGGCCGTGGAAGACGGGGAAGGGGTTGCACACGCACCTGCATTGTAGAAACGATCCAGCACCGCGGTTTCCCCAAAGTCCAGTTTACCAAAATGCACGGTCTCCAGGGTGGCGCCCACCGTCTCGCACGCCTCCCGCAGGCTCTGCAGGGCCTCGCTCTCGGCCATCACCAGCTGCCCCTGGCTCGCTTCGTTGATCACATATGCCACCGTGGTCCGTCGGCCGCCTCCGCCACCAGAGTTGCCCCGGCACCGGGTGGCGCTGCTCCCAGAGGTGGCAGCGGGACACCCGGTGCCCGGGGCGGCGGCACTCTCCACGTTCCAGAAGCTGCCCGGCGGCGGCGGTGGTAGCTGGCTCTCCTCGCCCTCGGCCGCCGCCGCCGCTGCTCCCCTCCGGCAGCTGCCGCCCTCGGCGAAGGGTGGCACGGAGAAAGTGATGCCTTCGCCCGCCTCCGCGCTCATCTCTCCCGGCCGGGCTGCGGCGGCGTCCCCCGCCCAGCCGCACCGTCTGGCCAGCCACAGCTCTGGGCTGCTCCGTGCGCGCCGGGCTAAGCAGCTGCCATCGCGAGTCGCGCCTTCCGCGCCGCGCCGCCGCCTCCTCTCAGGCGCCCTTTCCCCCGAAGGGACGCCGCTGCCCGGCGGCGGCTCGCCCCTCCTCGGCGCCTCCGTGGCCGCGCCGCTCGTCCGAGGCAGGGTGTAGAGTACAAGGGGTGGGGACGCCAGGTTGAGCGGGAAGGGACAGCGCTTCCTTCTCTTGGCGGGCAGACAAGTCGGCTCGCAAACCTGCGCCGCGGTGCAGCTGAAGGGCGCCGCGCTCGGGGTGCGGTGCGCCCTGGCCACCGGGCGCGCGGCCCCGGCTCCTTTGGTGCCGGGCGCTGGGAGGAGCCGGGGAGGGTGCCCGCTGGGTGGGGAGCTACCTGGCCAGCACCTCACGGGCGGGCAGGCTCTCCAGGCTGCGTCCCGGAACAGCAGCAGCCGCAGCCGCAAGGACCCGCCTCCCTCCTCGGCGGCAGCTCCCCTTCATCTGCTCTATTTCCTCCTCCTCCCCTGGCCTCGTTTCTCCACCGAGCGCGCCGGGGCCGCTGCGTCCGAGCGCCAACCTCGCCGCGGGAGTCTCGCCGCTCTTGCAGCCGCTCGCCCTGTCGGCCACCGGCTTCTGCCGCCCACTCGTCGCGGCACCGGAGAGTCAGGGCCCGCCCCGGGGGAGGGCGCTGCTGGGAAGCTCGAGCCCGGACGAAGTCGACCGCGCAGTGGCTCGCGGACTTCGACTGGGCCCGGAGCGCTGCGCCGGACCGGGTTTCTTCGCCGTCACCCACCCGACGCGCACCTAAAAAGACCCGGAGTGAGCCAAAGGCCGAAACGCATGCGACAGCAGCGCAAAGAAAGTCTCTCCTGCGAACACTCGGGGCTCCGGAGCTAGTCCGCGAGGCGTTTGCAGCGGTCCCCGCGGCCACGGCGCCCCCTTCCGGCGCCTGCCCGGCTAGCTCTGCGCGCGGTCTGGTACAGCGCGGGAAGGCCCGCGTTGCGCAAGGCTGGAGGATTTCGACTAGCGTCCCGCAGCCGGGGCCTAAAGTGGACGAGGATTCCTGACCGTGGCGCTGCGGAAGTGGCCGTCATAATTGATCAGGTCTGCTTCTGCTACTTTTCATGTAAAAAATTCGAGTAGCTATGTTAGCAGTAATGAGAAATTGATTAGTTCCAACTGCTGAAGGACTTAGCATTCTCATTTAGGGTTTTAAAGCGCCCCCTCGCTCCCCCCCCCCCCCCCCCCCCCCCCCCCCCCCCCCACGGCCCCTGCTCGCCCCGTATACTTTCTGGAGATAGAATAAGGCGTTTGTATCCCACTCCGCAAAGCATCATCCAATGAAAGGAGGAAATTAAGTGACATTCTTTTTTTTTTTTTTTTTAATTGCACCACGGCGGGGGAGGGGGAAGGATACCTGGATTGCTTAAAAGCGATGAAAAGGAAGAAATCTACTTATTTGGAGAGCAAATAAGTTTTCAGAGAACTTCTCCAAAATGTTCTATGTGTTAGGAAAACTGGTGAAAGCTGCAGTGAAGTAACAATTTTGGACTTCCCATCTCAGAGGTGGGAACCAAGATAAGTGAGGTCTCTGAATAAAGTAGAGTAATGCAAATTATCAATGCAAATTGAAGTGTAGAAGAAAAGGAAGGATGAAACAGTTGAGTAGTAGAGTTAAAAGAGGGAAGGAAATAGTAATGAGGAAAAACACCTCGCAGCTACACAAATGTAGTCTTAACGAAGCCATGTGACCTTAGCTTTTTCTAAAGGTGTGTAAAATGATAAAAGTAAATTTGTAGTAAGGAAGTTACATGTCATCTGGGATCTATATGACCCTCGTCTGCTTTAGGACTCGATCTCATTAGGAAAGTATGTGTTTAGTGAAGCAAAATACTGACAGGCTACTAATAGTTACATACCTTCTTTATTTCCAACAACTTGTCAAACCTCCAAACTCCTGTGGGAGTAGATAATCCTCCACCCCATCCTAGCCTGAAACAATACATACTAGAAGTTCATTAGGACCATGTCTGGAAAACTAAAATACCTAAATTCTCAAATTGCATTCTGTTACACAAATAAGGTGAGGTCTAACATTATGTATAAAACTGTCTTTTAAAGCCCATACCTTTTTAGATCACTTAGCCTTTGCTAAGCCCTTGCAGATCTTTTCAAAGCCATTTTTCATACACACAATTTTTGTCTTTGTTTTACTTTGTTTTGTTTTACTTTGAATTAATTTAATAACTTGAAAGATGTTAGCGATTGCTGGCACCCAAACCCCAGTGCAATGATGAAAGACTGCTTCTAGTTGGTACTAAGGCCGTCTCACTACCTAAATATGGCAAGGTTTAACTAATGTAAGTTACATATCGTGTATTGGATTGAACCATATGAATTTACATTTTTATAGCTGATAAACAGTCAAATATGCCCAAACTCAGATGGCTCAACTTATAACTGAGATTTGGGGCCTGTGTGGAGGCAGAAAGGACAGGTGTAGCACTGAGTCTCAGTCTACTCTTAGCTTGCCAAGCCTGGCTCAGAGTGTCCTGAAGGAATGAAAGCCTTCTTGCAATTGGATTACCCAGAAGTTGCAATTTGTGGTTTTGCAATTTGTCTCTAAAGAAGGAGCACTTTTTCTAATCCAAAAGGACAACTAATGTGGTAATGGTGAACAGCAGAAAAATTGTCCATCTTGGGTTTTCAGGTTTGTTCTTAAAGAGGCAAAATGGCGAATTTTAAGCCTAAAATGGATGAGGGTCTCCTAGCTAGCTAGCTTTTGTTTTAGACAAGTTTACCTTTCTCTGTATCCTCAGGTAAGATAAATGGGAATACAATATAGTCTTAATTGCAAAAAGTATTTAAATATCAGAGAATCACTAATTTAAGTATCAGAAAATCAAAAGTAAGAAAAGTATCAGAAATCAATAAGGAAGCCAGTAAGAAGTATCAAGCAACTGGGATGAATACATAATTTAATTGATTGCTAAATTTAACTCTGTGTATTTGGCTGCCCAAATAAAAAGAAAACACATAAAGAGTACATATATTCATTCATATGAAGAGTCAAGTCTTGTGCTAGCATTGAACTCTAGAAAGACTTTATTACTTACATAGAATCTGGTATAGAGTACATTGAGCAATACAATTGAATATGGATTTCTAAAAAGTTATATATGTTCTTCAAATTTATATTTAATATTGTTAGAAACCAAGAACATAATATTAAATATTAATTCAATGAAACCTAAAATAAGAGGAACCTAAAATAGTATAAATCAGATGCAAAACTTTCTGGTTATATTACCTTAATAAATTGGTAGAATTGAGGGAATTATGTAACTCACTGAAGCTCATAACTTAGCATTCTGTATCAAGGAAAGAAGGAACCCAAGGTGGGGTACCTCCTGGCTCAGTCAGTTAAGCATCTGACTCTATTTTAGCTCAGGTCATGATTTCACTGTCCTGAGTTCAAGCCCCATATTGGGCTCTATGCTAAGGGTAGAGCCTGCTTGGGATTCTCTCTCTCTGCCCCTCTTCCCACTCATGCTGGTTTGAGCTTGTGCATTTTTTTTTTCTCTCTCTCAAAATAAATAAATAAACATTAAAAAAGAAGAAGAAAAAGGAGCCCAACAGAAAAGAGAAGTAACATTGCTTAGGTCCTAGCACAAATAGCAGCTTCTTTACAAGCTTTTCAGGGATTGAATCACAGTTAGTGAATACTAGAATCATAATATCATAAAGATTCTTTGACAGGTACCGGATGGCTCAGTCAGTTGAGCATCCGACTTTGGCTCAGGTCATGATCTCACAGTTTGTGAGTTTGAGCCCCACATAGGGCTAGCTGCTATCAGCCTGTCAGCAGAACCTACTTTGGATCTATTCTCTGCTCCCCCCCACTTGTGCTCGCCCAAAACTAAACTTTTTTAAAAAATTTTTTTAATGTTTATTTATTTTTGAGAGACAGACACAGCATGAGCAGAAGAGGGGCAGAGAGAGAGAAGGAGACCCAAATATGAAACAGGTTCCAGGCTCTGAGCTGTCAGCACAGAGCCCAATGTGGGGCTCGAACTCACGAGCTGTAAGATCATGACCCAAGCCAAAGTTGGACGCTCAACCGACTGAGCCACCCAGGCACCCCAAAAAACTAAAAACTTTTAAAGAAGATTCTATGGTATCTTTATACCTTTAAAAGGCATGGCACCAAACTGAGACTCATGTTGTCACTCAGAGTCTATTCTACTGCTACTTAAAACTGGGTCTTGGGATATATCTGAGAACACAACAGGTAGAGCAAAGAATTTTCCTAATAAAGAGCTAGAGAAATACAAGGGAGAAATTTCTGCTTCTGATGATGACAGATTAGACATTTGAATAAGCCTAAGAATGCTGAACAAAATTTGAAATTTAAAAGTGATGAAAACACTAATGAGGTAATGAGGAACTATCTGACCAGATTCTGGAAGAGAGGCCAGAGATCCACATGGTATTTTCACAGTTGGGACTGCTTTTGGCCTGGCAGGTTTTTTTTTTTTTTTT